GCTCGAAGAATTTCAGATTGTGATATATTCATTTTGTGTGATCTGTTAACACTTGGTATGTACGTACTGGAGAGGACCCTCAGTGGCCACCTCGACCTGTTTTAGCTCACTATCTTTAAAACAGACATTTTTTGGGTTTTGGCTGAAAAAAAGTTAGCTATGGCAGCCATCTTGATTTGAGTCAACTCCAACAGTTAATCAGTTTTAAATGTTCAGCTAATGATCATTATCTAAGAGTTTCATTCCACTGCTTCCCAAGACATATTTTTCTAATTTAACTCCAACTGTTAATGCCAAACAAATTGTTTTTTTTCAAACTGAAAAAAATGATCTACAACAGGTAAGATATTTTCATTCCCTTTGCACAGAACCCCACTTCAGAAGAAGTCAGAACTTTTGTTTGATCATTTCTGTCATAAAGGTGTTGCTTTTAACCACATGAGGATTATTTCTGTGTTCAACACTAATATTGTGTGGAACTAAATATATCGACAAGCAAAAACTAACAAACCTTTTGACATATTTAAGGGTTCGAGTGTGAGTAGATGGTGAGTTTTGCACAGGCGTGACTTAAAGTTGAGCGGTCTTAGAAACAGTTCCCAAATCAGTCGTCTGTGTCTCCCTGTTTCCTGTCTGCAAGATTATCATAAGTCATGAAATGTTGGCAATTCATGGANATTATTTTAATACAACAGTCATTTCTGCAGTTTTTGGGGAGGTCACCTCCTAATAAATGTCCTTACAGAAAATCTAACTGCTCATTTTAAATCTATACTTTGACTTTTAATGCTTAACTACAAAACATCAGATACTTTAATACTTTTACTCAAGTAATATTCCTGAATGACACTTTAACTTTTACCAAAGTAATTTTTTGGTAAGATACTCGTACTTTTACTCAAGTATCACTTTGTGCTACGTTATACACCACTGCACACTAACTGGTGTTAAGATAGGCCCCTAGAGGTCTTTATGCAAACAGCTGATCAAATCACACTTAAAACAAACTCCAAAGTGAAACAAATGGAGGGAAAAATGCATTAAATTATTTTCTGTGCTGTAACTTTTAAATAACTCTGTGCATCTTCAAAACCATAGTTTCTGTAACATCTGCGCTCCGATCCCCAGACGTTTGACAGAACGTCACGCTCACAAAGCGCTCACACACATCTCCATGAAACCTCCTCAGACTCGCTGTTTAATTCTCCGTCAACCTGACAAAGTGCAGGTTCACAGCTCTGTCCTCACACCTCATGATGACAAATCCAACAGCTCATGTTCTCTCACACACACTCACAAAATGTGACATGGGCTTTTCACCCTAGAAYAAAAATACACATAATCAAAGTGGTAAAATCACRTCTGTCACAGTTTAAATTCAGCCCTATTAGACACCTAATTATAAGAAATACTAGAGTCACATGACAYCAGGAACTGAACATACTCAGAAGTGGACATCTGCGACTGAATTTCCAAAAGGACAGCGAGGAAACTTGATAAATATTATTTACATTGGATGTTTACAGTTTCTGCTTTTAGCTTAACGTTTCTCTCAACACTCCTAGAAACAGACGTAAGAAGATATCTGTCATCAAATCAGATGGCTTTTTTGGGTCATTTTTTTGCATACCTGAGCTGAAGAAGTTGTATCTAAATAAAATGGATGTGACTGTTTTAACTGGAGTACAAGAGATCAAGAAGCCTGGAAGTGACTGATAATTTCAGATGGTTCTGGTTTTAATAAAAAACAACCTACAGGCAGTAGATGAACTGTTTTTAACGATTTCTGTTTATCTTTCGACTTGAACCAGGAGATCTAACAGCTCTCGTTTAAAGCAGAGGACTTGAATGGATTTTAAAGGGCCAATATTATGTGTTTCTCAGGCATATATTTAAATATTATACCGRAATAAAGTATCTATGTCACCTTTAGTTGTTTTTAAAATGCTATTTTTATGTTTAAATAGAAAATAAATTTATCTTCTCATCACTTCCTCTTCTAAACGCCTTGAAATTGGCCTCTGTCTCTTTAAGAACCACCTTCTGCTTCTGTCCCGCCCATTTCAGTGGGGGGAGGGGGGGCTGCTATGATGCAGTTTACTTGGCATCTGAAAATACATTTCCTTAAAGGTATTTTGAATCTGAAATGAGCTTCACTGAG